GATGAGAACGAGAGGTTGTTYAACTTCCCATGATAATACAACATTGCAAGAGTGAATCTAAAACCGCGTAGAAGATAAAGCAGAACCACAATTGTCACAGCATGTTTTAACACTCTTTTGTTTTGCTGTTCTCTTCTTCTTCGTTCTGATGTTGCCAATCCAGGTACTTTGTGGTGATAAAGTTTGCAGATGGTAAACGTGTAGGTGATTGTGATAAACAATACTGGCAAAACACTGGCCAAACCTCCTAAAATATAGTGATGAAGATAAGATGATGACCTGTTCTTGTGAGATACACTACAAAACAATGAGTTTTCATATTGTAGTGTGGTTAAAAAGTACAAACTAGGTGAACATATTACGGCTGCAACAATCCAAATGACTGTAATGACGTGTTTCATCTTGTGCTCAAAAGTTTACCAGCACTATTACGTATGGAAATACAAAAAGAGCTCCAATAAGATCACTGACCGCCATGTTGGTTATTAAGTAATTAGTAGTTGTTTTTAAGCGGTCGTCCCTAAAGACTATCCACACTATAAGGAGGTTTCCCATCAAGGCAAGAACAAATTCAAGAGAAAATACCACAGTCCATGGTATCTTGCCGTGGTAAGGTTCAGACGTATCTGGATGAGTAAAGTTGCGAGTAGAATTATTAAACATTGTGTTTAAACATACGTCCTGCTTGTGATGTTTTAGAATGAATAAGTTTAGCATAAGTGTGTTCCTTAAAGTTGACAAAATGCGTCCAGAAAATAATGAAATTAGAGATTCATGACATCTCAAATACGCCGTGACAACATTGCCGACTAGTTTTGCATATTAGAATCATAAAGATCGTGTTTTGTTTTTGTAAATTTATTAATAGATGAAGTCAAAAAACTACGAAGATGCAGCTATTGATGACTGACACTAAATCAAATTGKCCAAGGCCTATAGTCCATATACGATCGTCCCAATCGTTCTAGTTTTCCCAAGCTATACACCTTTACCATAATGGCTGCATTTGTGTTTTTCCAAAATAAGATAGATAACAATATTTTGTCATTGTAGCATCAAAGAACTATCAGAAATAAACGTATTTGGAACGTTTTAGGACTCTGGACAAAATAGGAAAAAAGTTATGGTGCAATGAAAATACAAAGAAATGTATGTAATTTTCAACCAATGGCTGTCTGTCTATTTGTTTCTGAATATGAAATATGTTAAAACTTTGTCACTGTCATATGAATGAACWACCAGAAATAAACATTTTTGGAAAGTTTTACAGCCYTGGATAAAATGCGAACAAATTTATAGCGCAATTATGAAAATACAGAGAAATGTATGTAATTTTYAGCCAAGGCCTTTATAGCCTCTTTTGGTGTTATGATATATTTTAAATCCTTATAACTTCACCAGARTTTAAYATTTTCATTTCAAACTTTTATATTTTGTTATTAGCACAGGTTCCTATCAGCTGTCAGTTTACTTTTACTAAAATTCGAAATTTTAAAAATTTATGTTAATTAGATGGCGGCCATTATGGTAAAGGTGTATTTACTTAACAAAAAGGGAAAAGCGCGTTTTGGGAAGATTGGGGCGTTTATATAAACAATCTGTCAACCATGACAGTTGAACGAAAAGCTTCTCATTATAGGTGTATACAGTAAAATCGCTTAAACTAGTACATGTATGCCACAGTGAGGCTAAAAAATGTCATTATGTCAAATAAATATGCATGCCTTAAATGGTTGGTGGTATACTACTTCTGATCAGACTGATAACTGCACATTTATTTTTTCATAAAATAGAAAAAATATATAAATATATACACTCATACAAGACAAAATGTATCCAAAACTAGTGCACTAAAAATCTTTTTTAGTGTCTTTGATGTTTTATCTTATCATCTCTAAAAGTTGTGAACTTGTCGCTTATTTTGAATTGAAAAGTAGGGACAGCTGCCTCCAATATATTCAGGGATTTTTTCGATAAAAAGTTCAAAAACAATAAAACCAGCCCAAATTTCAACCCGTTTGCTAATCAAAATTCCCTTATGCAACAATTGAATTCTAACTGATAGCCCTATTGG